AAAAAATGGTTTGATTTCACATGCATAAAAGAAAGGAAATGTGGAGCTGGGTTTTCAGTTTGGCCTAACAACAACGCAATCACAGAAACATTATCATCCTATGTAAGAACAGCATATGCAGAGAGGCACAGGTTACATCTCTGTGGAAGCTAGAACCATGACTTTCACTGTATTCTACTTGCAAGTGTCATGAGATTCGCATAGATTTTTTGCAGCTCATATAAAAATATGAACTCAATTATTAAAACTATTTCAAAGACAGTCAGCAAGAAATGAAACTTTCCAATTCCTGATTCAGCCTAATGTTTCAAATAATCCTAGACTGGGAAAACTAAACCTTGACCAAAGAATACAGACATCAGTTTTAAGCATTGCTTTAGGAATCAGATGCGACAGAGCCACAGGTAATAGCAAACTGGCCCTTTAAGGGTTGCTAAGTTATTTAAAAAGACCCTCCCCCGCTATCTGGAGGACCATAACTACTGCATTCTGTTGGACAGTAAGTACTTTCCAAATAGTTCTTTGAAACTCAGGTTTGGAAAGATTTGTGCTAACTTCATCAAGCTAGCCAAGTAGAAGTACTGAATCTCCATGTGCACCTGGAAAATGAATTTAAAAGGAACACTTTTCAATTATCAAGTAACTTCTTTGCACCTCTTCAAATAAATAAATGAAATGTAAAGAGTCAGGAATGCCCATGGCCCTTGGCAATTACCTTTCATATGAAATACAGGTCCCTGCAGACCTGCTCAGTTGGTCTGTATGGGTGCCTACACATGAGTGCGGAGGCTGCTCCAATGCGCTGGAATCCCAGTGTGTTGGAGCAAACTCCAGTAATCGAGTCGGCTGGTGCATGGCAATTATCATGCTCCAGCAGCCTCCCACATCACATGGACTGGCATCCCCATGCTTAAAAATGGCATCAGGGGCACTCGAACTAAAGCCTGTCACACAAGCTTTCACTATTACAGATTTTCCCTTTTTTAAGCCACAGGTACTGGAGATAAATCACTAGATTACATGAACTACACACACTGAATCAATAGCAGGGAAGTCTGGGGTAGCTGTTCTTCTGTAACTTTATAGTTTTAAGTTCACTTTTAAGATTAACCCAAGAAAGGGTGTGCTTGGAGTTCGGCATAGCATTCAATTAACTTAACACAACAGCACTGACATCAAATACCAAGCCAGCACAGCTCAAACTCTGGCAAGCCAGCTAGAGTAATAGGAAAAGGAAAAGCCACTCGCTCATACTCTGGGGATGGCTGAGAGCGCAGGGTTCTGGCTGGCTTCAGCCCCAATGCAGACTGTTTTCTCTTCATGTCTTCACTGACTTTTCCAGGTAATGCTGAGACAAACATTTCATGACATGACCCCTTAGTATCAGAACATGTAGCTCTGCGACGCTGCTAGTTAATTTTGCACATTTAAACATAGCTGGATTGAACAAGTTGTATTGTTTTTCCATACTCTACATCCAGCTATAGATCAAGGCCAACTTCTTGTTCTAAAAAGTAATAGAATTAACTACTTATGGACATGTGGATGTGACTGGGGATTGTCCCGTCCAGTGGTAGCAAGTCGAATACCCTGCATTCGCAGGCAACCATTTATCTGAATTTTGTATTCTTCTCTTGAAAAGATGATAAAAATATACAGTGAAACAATGCTATTTCTGTACATTCCCAACAAACCAGAGGATTGTTAGGACATCAGATATCAGTATTCTTCAATTTTTTAAAAGTGACCCCTCTTCACTGTTTGTCTTCTCATACACAGCAAGAAGAGGACCACCCAAAAAGAGTGAGCTTTATGGCTAGTGGGGTGAATGGTAGGATGTATTATCCAACCAACCCAGCATGCTTGGGACTCAATTAGACAAAACGTGTACACTATGAGTGAAGACCCAAAGAATACGCTTCAAGAACCAATTGTGTCCTTAAATTCCTTTAGTGCATGCATTTGATTCAGGTTGCATTTCCACTGAACTTTGGCATGATGTAAAGTCTGCTTTAGGAGACTGCAGGTGAGAATGGAGGGAGATGGAAATAAAATTGTGGGTCATGGTTCAGCTTTCAATGTTGATCTTCTGAAGAACAGAAACTGAGAGAAGTTAAAAATTTGTATGAAGGCTCCTCCTGTGGTTAATTATATCTTTCTATACTGTCCTGAAGTATTTCTCTCTATACTTCAGTGTGTATACACACACACACACACACACACACACGCGCACACGCACGCGCACACTCTCTCTCTCACTGAAAATCGAACAGAGTAGTAATTTCACAACCTCTGCTCCTTGGTTCCCAATAGTTTCATATAAGGAACCAAAGTATTTGGGTTGGAGTGGGGGGAAGAGGACACATATCCACAGCCAAGTAAAGAGATTCTCATCCAGATTTTTCAAGCTAAGACCACAGTACCCAAAGGAACACACAACTAGAAGCAAGCTTGTTTTAAAAGGACCAAACCAATATGTACACTCCCACCTCAGGCAGAGAACCAACCTTCGCTTACTTGAATTCCAACCAATTTAGAGCACACTGACAATACGATTTTGTTTCTGATTTAGTTACAGGCCAGCTCTCCAACCCATTATGGCTATGGGGGAAAGCAGATTCACCAAAACTTCCCTGCCAAGCTACTTCCAACAAACCTAACTTCCATCCCAACCTCTCCAGAATACCACTCGTTCCCTAGTTCATCATCCTTGTAGACAGGCAATGGCTTACATTTCCTGACCGACTTTCATGCTCATCTCCCTTCTAGGCTCTTTCACCCTAACAGCGAGACCAAGGCCATCCCAGCAGGAAGCTAACAGCAACCAGTACATGACAGCAGTGTTTCTCAACCCATGGGTTGTGACCCAAACATGGGTCACAGTTTCATAGATGTTAGGGGCTGGAAAGAACCTAACAGATCATTGGGTCCAGGCCCCCTGGTCGCAAGAATACATGAAAGGGTTGTGAACAAACTTCAGAAATGGATCCACAAACTTTAAAAATGGAGTCTCCTTTCGAGGAGAAAAACGTGGGAAATGACAGCTTTCCCCTTCCAGCCCGGCCGTTCCTCTTGCCCCACACCCACCCCCTGCCCCACACCCTGGGGGGTGAGGGGCACTGGGTCAGGACTGGCCATCTATGTTTACAAATGGGTCCTGGTCCAAAAAAAGATTGAGAACCACTGCCTTGTAGCACGGCCTGTTGATCTGCTAGCAGCTGAATGAATTTCTGTTCTATGCAGCACGCAGTTGGGGGCTGGAACCCACGATCCACAAGGTCCCTTCCAGCACTTAGCAATCTACGAATCATCCAAAGAAGCCTACGTCTATTCCTACCCGTCCCGCGCGCTAGCAACAGAGTCCCGATGGGATTTGAACGATCACTTCCAACAACAAGGTTTACACGAAGGGAGATCGCAACGCTTATTACGAAGGTGCGGCTGCCTCCGGAGATATCTGCCAGAAGGATTCCCTCGCACATCTTGCCAAGGGAAGCACAAGGACACGATACCCACCTTGTGGCAGCCAGGGTAGGTCGCCACAGTGTTAAGGGTGGAGGGGCCGGGGGTCTTGCTGGTGCTGGCCATGATGTTCTGGATCTGGGTGAGCTCCTTCCTCAGCACCTGCTTCTGGTGGAAGCTGAAGGCGGGGTGGTTGGAGGCCATGGTGAAGAGCAGCAGGAACTCGTCCCCCGTACGCCCCTCGTTGAGCTGCAGCCCATAGTTGTGGATGACCGAGTCAATGTGGGTGAGGGTGCGGAACAGCACGCCGGCCGCCTCGCGGTGCGCCGAGCCCAGCAGGGCCAGGGAAATCAGCAGCTTGCTGCGCACCACCTCATCCGTCAGATTGGTGAGGTTGCCCAGGTCGGCTGGGTTGTTGGCCTTGATCTCCGAGTCGCGCAGCGAGTGGTAGTCCTTGCGCGCCAGGTCCTCCAGGCAGGCGCCCAGGAAGCGCAGCTCCAGTGGGATGCACAGGTCCAGCAGACCGCACAGGAACTCCACGCGCTGCGGCGACGGCAGCTCCGAGAACCACCGGTACACTCCGTCCCGCTGCAGCCGCGGGCACCGCTTCTCCACCATGGCGCCGCTGCAGCCGCCGCCTGGCCAGGCCACCACCCCTGCAGCCAGGTGCGGGCGACCCTGCCCAGGGGATGGGGGGGGACACCCAAGGTGGGGGAGGGGGAGCTCCACGG